TTTCTTTTCAAAAATTTCGATTTCCTGTTGCATTTCCCGTTACTTAGAAATTCGGAATATTTTCTTTTCTGAAATTCGTTTTCTGAAAACGGTACAGGAAATACCTCCTGCAGTATTATTTTCCAAATTGCGAATATTCTCATGGGAATAAATTCGAATATTTGTCATTTCGGTTCGAATTTTTTTCGCAGTTCTGGGATTCTGTCGTTCAGTTCTATAAATCATTGGCAGTCTAAAGTCGAAATTTTTCTTTCAGTGATCATTTCGCACTTCAAGGGAGGTTGGGAGACCTACCGAACTTGCAAAAATTGGGATTTTTTAATTATTTTTCTCGATTTTTTTTGCAAAGTTCAAACTTTTCTTGTTTGATTAGTGGCTCCTTATCTAAGTGATTGGTCGGGCAATTATCCCACCCACCCCTCCCCACCTATGTTGTTGCCATCTCTCGCCTTTCCGTTTCTGTTGGTATTCGGGTACCCCCTGCGGCGGCATTGGTGAGTTGCCACGTCAGCAGGCCACGTCAGCAGACCATGTCAGCAGGCCACGTCAGCAGGCCACGTCAGCAGACTACGTCAGTACGTCAGCAGGCCACGTCAGCAGGCTATGTCAGCAGACCACGTCAGCAGGACACGTCAGCAGTGCCACATCAGCAGCAAGGGATACCACATCAACAGGCCCCCGCCCGGTCTATGCTGTTGTGATCTCAAACAGCCGTACCAGAGGCCCGGGGAAGCAGACGAGGCCTATTAGGCCCTCATGCTGGCCTGGAGTACCGAGACAAAGAAACGGGCAGATGACGCTGCAGCAGCAACGAAGAAGAAGGTCGAGGATGCCGAGCAGGCATCTCTGCTGGCACTTGAACAACAGCGCCAGCATGATGAGGCAGCAGCAAGGGCTGCCGATGAAGAAAGGAACCAGCGTCGAGAGAAGATATTTATCGGAGAGCGGGCGTTACTGACAATGGCAGCGGAATGGCGAACCGAAGCGGAGGATGGCATGTTGGAGGATAGCGCAAACAAGATTGCGCTCCTCCTCTCGCACCTCACAGATCTCCTCGCAACCTGCATTACACAGCAGGCGGAGATCCTCGGTCTCGACACCTCGCTAGCTCACGACCAAGACCGCCTTCAGCGGTTGGAGCAGCAACCAGTCGCCGCCGCCGACGCAAGCTCTTCCAACACTGCCGACCGCCTCAATGCATTGGAGATGGACGTCGGCTCACTCAAGGATGGCGTGCAATTACAGCAGACCGCGATGCAACAGTTGCAACAGCGGATCTGCACTACCGCCACCACCTCGAGTTCAGAACCGCGCGAGACAACTCCAAAGTTCGACAGGCAGGAGATCTTCTGCGACTCAATGAAGACAGATCCGATTCCATGGTTTCGCAAGTTCGAGCTCACACTGCAGCTCCACAACGTCAAGGAACTCAAGCACCACGCATACTTGTACCCTCGCTTAGGGGGCGCGTGTCAGGCTTGGTTGGACAACCTGTTGTCCAAGTACGGAGTGGTAGCCAACGACTTGCACACCAAGATCAGTTGGGAT